CTGGCTGTATTTTAAAGAAGCCTTATTGGAGGCACAGGAACAAACCATCCCGATGTGCAGAAAGAATAGCAAATATGGTAGCAACCAGCTTGGCGTAACAGTGAAATCTTTGGTGAGCTTATTGGAAATGGCCCACCATATGATCACTTTAGATAAGCTATTACCAGCAGGACAGTGGGGTGGGAGGAGGTATTGTTTCATGATCTCTGTGTGTATATAAAGTCTGCTGCAGTTTCCACGGTATACATCTGATGAAGTGAGCTGTAGCTCACGAAAGCTCATGCTCAAATAAATTGGTTAGTCTCTAAGGTGCTACAAGTACTCCTTTTCTTTTTGCGAATACAGACTAACACGGCTGTTACTCTGAAACTTATTAACAGCGTGATTAATTGTGTAATTAATCGCAATTAATAACGCAATACAAAAATTAATTTTTAAGCGCAATACAAAAATTAATTTTTTAATCATAGAATCATAGAATATCAGGGTTGGAAGGGACCTCAGGAGGTCATCTAGTCCAACCCCCTGCTCAAAGCAGGACCGATCCCCGACTAAATCATCCCAGCCAGGGCTTTGTCAAGCCTGACCTTAAAAACTTCTAGGGAAGGAGATTCCACCACCTCCCTAGGTAACGCATTCCAGTGTTTCACCACCCTCATAGTGAAAAAGTTTTTCCTAATATCCAACCTAAATCTCCCCCACTGCAACTTGAGACCATTACTCCTTGTTCTGTCATCTGCTACCACTGAGAACATGTAGTCTAGAGCCATCCTCTTTGGTACCCCCTTTCAGGTAGTTGAAAGCAGCTATCAAATCCCCCCTCATTCTTCTCTTCTGAAGACTAAACATCCTTGACAGCCCTAATTTATATATGTGTACATTTGAAATAAAAAGTCATTTGAAATGAAAAATTGACACTTTTTATACCAAAAAATCAAAATGGTTTTGCAAAAAATTTTATTTTTGTCAAGACAGGATTTTCTAACAGAATGCTGTTTTGACTGTGTTTTTATTACCAGCTCTAATATCTATATCTACTGATAGATGGATGGATAGGAAGGTGCTGGACCTTCTTGTATATTTTTCTTAACCTTAACTTCACAAAAAAAGGTATCTAAAATGGCTAATGTTGATTTCTTTACAACCCTTTGTATAAGTAAAAGAGGGAAAAACAAATCTGTGTTCATCTCTGGAATACTCATTTTCAGTCCAATGCGATTCAGAGTTAGCCTTTTGATTAAGATCAAATATAGTATCGGTGTAGTATCATTCGATAAATTGGAGGACTACTATTACTACTACTGCGGGGTTCGGTGACCTAAGAGATATTTCCATCTCTAACTATTATGATGATCCTATGAACAGTGAACTTCTAACCCCTTCAAAATCAAAGTTCTGAATTAAGATGATAGCTGATTTTTATGTATAGCAATATTAAGTGTAACATCAGTTTATTGCTTAAATAGCCTTTAAATTTAGCATATTACCACTCTAAGTTTCCAACAAGAAGCCCTCTGGTACTAGATTTCTCTGGGAACATGCATTACTGTATAAGGTTGGTTACCTTTTAAATTACCAAGGGAAAGAAATAAGCTGCTTCCTTAAAGTAGAGCCAATGAGCCCTTTTAGAAATAGCCAATTATGAGAAAATTGACTTTCCACCTAATGATAATCTAGACATTTATATCCTCATCTGGAAAGCATTTACAATAACTTGTGAATAAATATCACTGTTGATCATCTCAGTCAAACATATGACAAGGGAAGGACAAGATCAAAGAATTATTCACTTTTGTTTTAACTTTCTCGGGATTTTTCCTTGTCTTTTCTGTATCTCTATTTAATTCTCTCTTCCCACCCGGATGAATTATTACACACACTTTAATGGTGCACACAAGCCATGAATCATATACACCTGTAATGATCTATCAAAAGTTGTATTTAAATATCCCACACAGTAGTTGAATGTAACAATCTATATGGGAAAAAATCAATAAAATATAGATTCTAAAACACTAGCGCCAATGTCCCCTTCTTACGCTTATGTTTTCAGGAGCTGGTAGCCATCTCGACTCTAGTCATTTGTTTAGAAGAAACTGTATTTCTTCCCGCTCCTCCACCATTGTTATTGTTTTATCATGGTTAAGGTCAGGTTAGAAAAGTTCAGGGTTATTCACACTGTAAAAAATAGATTTTTTTGGATTCCTTGTAGTTGCCTCTCCAAAGGAAAGCCCCATTTAGGCTGGGAAAATGAGGTTCATAAGATTTTTCTGTTAATAACGGTGCACTCTTTACTAAGAAGTGCACTTCTACTTACTTTATCCACTATATCCTTCATAAAATCTTGACTTTCTTTCCAAGACGATCTAGGAGAATCATCACCATAGTACTGTAGAACCTTACTGAACATTAGTCATATTTTTATGTGGGTTAGAAGCTAATATTACTATTAAACTTTACAAAATATGCCTTGCTTAAGGATGTAGTTCACAACATTCAATCAACTGGGGAATCCACAATCAACAACCTAACAAAAATCTAGCATGGAGCACACGTGAGCGACAGTAGATTTTAGTTTTCATCTACAGCAAATCTATGTGTTATCTCAAAGCCAGACTTCCTATATTTTTCTTTTAACTGCCTTAATCTTTATGTACATTGGGCCTGATGGACCCAGTGGATGCTGGGAGTTTAAACCTTGCTGCACCAGTGAACGTAGTAGTGCCCTGTGGACACTGTGATCCCCTCCAGGGACCCTCCCCTGGGAGGGTACCTTTAATTTGTGGTTTGAATTTCATGTGAGGACCACTGGTGAAGTTGCCTTGGGGACACGTTGAAACAATGTTGTTATAATGTGTGTGCATCTGTGTGTTCTTGGGATGCCACACTAGTTACAGGTAGGACACATTAATCAAGTAGTAGTATCCCTCATCAGCTTTCCTATTATCTGCCCCACTTTGTGCCAATTTCCTCTTGCTTCCCCAACACCTCCTGCTCTGCTGTTCTTCTGCAAGACATGGGATAGGGATTTGTCAAAGTCAATGAGCACTTTATTACAGGGAGAGTGCTCAGTAATGAACAATTCAGCAATTTAATGAGATTCTGTAGATCTGTCTCCAGCCTGTCCATCAAGTTTCACTTCTATAAAGCACCCTGACACTAATCCTCTGGCATACCCAATCTTCACCCTGGGCTGAATATTAGATTCTTCCATGGTATATTGCATTACCACTATAACCTTAGCAAAAATGATGAACTTAACTACACTTGAGGCAATATAGCTGGTCTGATTTGATTTTCCTCTATTGGGTTGACTATGAGGGAATTATTTATTTACTATGATAAAGCAAAAAACAGTTTCTTATTGCCTGCTGAATGCCTAAATTGGTAAATATTTATGTGTGTCTTTTAATTCATTCTGGAGAACCAGAAATAAAATATATATTTTTTTGCCTGCAGCAGAAAACTAGTTTAAAACATTCTACATAACAGCATTAGTAACCTTTAGAGAGGCAATTATGATAATACTTAAATGGACAGTGTAGAGTTTGTTGTCACTCAAAAAGAAGCACATTATCACTGCTGTACATAGCAGTATCTGCAGTGTGACCTGCAACACTGGCATACACTATCATATTTGCTACATGGAGTGTCCACTCTACTGTCATGCAGGCCATTAAGAAAATCTTTCCCAGATTCGTCCCATAGGGCAAGGCCAGTGTCACAGTACCAGAGACTTAAGAACTCCCACTTACCAGACTGGAAATGGCAAACGTGGGGAGAACGCCTGCCATACCACACTGACCAGTGCCAGCATGCTATTTAATGCAGCTTGGCTTTCTGCAGCATCTCTCCTCTCTAAGATGTCTCAAAGCACTTTGAGAAGCACTTTCATCTTGCAGTGAAGTGATAATGAAAGCAAATGGGCCAGTCAGCAATACCCCCACAACCTCACTCATCAAAACTGCTTTACCAAGCAAGGGAATGAGGGCTAGCACTCCAGAGTATCCCCTCCTCCTTTATAAAAGAGTACAGCACCAGGGGATCTCTCAAAGATGAGTAGGCGGGAGTCCAAGTTTATATTTCAATTTTAATGGAAATAGCATCTTTGGAAAAGACTGCATATTCTACCCTCAAAATCTGAGAAATAAATCTGTGCGGTAGCCACTAGAATGAAGGATTAAACTTTATCTCCACTCTGCCTTGGTAGTTTGAAGAAGTTTGTTTTTATATAGCACGGCTCATCTGCAGATCTCAAAACACCTTACAAAGTAAGGCAAGAATCATACCCCTCATTTCACAGATGGGGAAACCAAGGCACAGAGCGATGAAGTGACTTACACAACATCACCCAGCAGATAAGGAGCTTATTAAGAGAGCCATGAATAACACTCAGGTCTTCTGACTGCTTCTCCCTTCCATTAGCCTGAAGGTATCTCCCTTTTTATAAGATAAAAAGTATTTTCCAAAACAGATATATTTAACAATTTTTTCCTACCTTGCCCTGCCTTTCTCCCATATTGCGTGATAGCAAACAAGAAACAAACAGCAGTGTTCCTGTAATTAATATTACAGATGTTTACTTCCATTATATTCTGAAGCTCCCATTTTCACAGATTTACAGTAGGATTGTTTCCCAGATTATTTTATATATATATTTTTGTAGCAAAACATATTAAAAGGCATGTGGCTATGTGTTTCTTTAGCATTAAAAGCTATTAAATCATATTCCATATTATGCCACAATGTTGTAATTTTTTCCTGTTAACATACTAGGCCACACAAGTCAAACAACAAAAAGTCTTCTTCCAGATTAACTAATTGTATTAGAACAGAGCAGATCCTGTATTACTGTATTACGTCAAAATCTAGTTTGCCCCCTTTTGTTTCCCTGAGCCTTTAATCATTTTAGTGTCACCAGCACGTGCTCAAGGGCTCCTGAACAAAAGTTTTCCCTGGTTTTATACAGTGTCACACATTACACCAACCGATTTCCTTACCTGCCAGATTTGCTCTTCGCTAAGAGAAGTGAGTCGGTCGCTCTTCAGGACCTCTCGAAGGAGACAGTATGGGAGAGCCAGGACTTCCTCCGGGTGACTCTTCAACAGCTCAGAGAGGTGTTTAACTAAGAAGTCAACCACTGCCTTCTCCAGCAAAGTGAGGTTAAAGAGGTCAGCGAGCTTATACAGGTCCAAGTAATTAAAGCTATTTAATTCCTGGGTGAGCAAAGCAAAACAAAAAATGTGTCTCAGAAAAAAAGGCAAAAGAGAAATAGGGGAAAATGTGACTTCAGATTGAGGATCATGGTCTGGCACACGTGTGAAAAAAAAGCGTGAGCAAATGCTGCAATTGCATGTGCAAATCGGGCAATTGTGAATGATAGAGGGCATTCAGAAATCATGTGTGTTGAAACTGCCTGATTTATGCATGCATCTGCAGCAACTGTAAGACATGAAGTTGTATGTGGACCAATAAATAAACCAAAGTGTTTCATAGTGTATTACAAGAGCTGGCAGAATTCAACACGTAGATTTTTTTAAAAAATCTTTCCATTAATTAAAAAGCTTTGTTACAGAACAATTGTTTGCTCATTATTTATTGTTAATTATTTCATCTGCCTTGAAAAGAGAACTGCAAGCACTTTCATAAATAGGATTTCTAGTTTCACCAAGGACTTCTGTTTTCTATGCTGAAATTATGTTTCAATTTACAGATATATCATCAGTGAATTAAAACAGATTTGCCTTCACCTCCTGCACCAACAGTATCCTGATTTGCCACTTCTTCATCTAGAAGCAGAAAAATGAACACTGACAAAAGCTGAGCTAAACCAAAGCAAAAGTACTTTCTACCCAGATATCAACAGATCCTACATTTAAAGGCCCACATTTTCAGCCTGGCATATCGCTGCAATTACTACAATCTGGGCAATTTATATAATTTTAGATCTCATGCTTTTCAAGATCAAGATCATGTCTTCATCTATGTTAGGAGAGCACCTAGTAACTGGGCACTACCACTAACTAAGTAAAAAAATCTAGAAAATAAACAAAAAAGTAACTAGTCACTAAGTCTATAAAGGTCTAATAGAACCCAGTCACTATCCAACTTTATTTAATGTTAAACAGGGCCTGGGATTCGGTGTAGAGAGACCTCAGCCTGCTTAGAACATGGCAAACGCACCATTAAAAATCCTTTGAACCTTTCATTAACGATACAGAAAAGAAGGAAAAACAGTTAAAGAAAGCATCTGAAATGTAAAATATTAAACAAGTCTTTCATTTTAACATTTTGTGTTCCCTTTAGCTGTAGAGTTTTTAGAAAGAAAACCCCCTCGTTCCACAGTATCTTAGAGAGCATTAAAGATGGTAATAACTGTCCTTTTGGGCAAAAGAAAAGAAGCTGGCTGAGATGGGCTAAAGCGGTTGTTTTTCCTGTTGTCTTTAAGATCCAAAACTGACCTTTTGAGGAAAAGAAAATAAGTTAGTTGAGATGAGCTGGAGCTGCTGTTGCTGTTGTTAAAGTCCAATCCCATTTCATCAAAGATGCAGTTTGGAATTCAGCTGGAGCTGACAGAACAATCCAGATGACATCACCAACCCTCTCTGGCCTGAGCTGGTAAGGACACCCCTCAAGATTAAGCCAAAGAAGGTCTGGGTCCCTGGAGACAGTGGGGGTGGCAGCCATGACAGTGAAGCTTGGTCCAGTAGCCTCCGGCTATTCTTTCTTTACCCCCAAAATCTCAGTCTTTAAAAAGCCACAAAGAGTATGGTGGGTGAAGTAACCCATCCCCTCATTATTTTGTCCAAAAATTAGGCTTACTATCCAACACGCCAATTTTGGTTCATTAACTTCCGGCTCTACATCATCATACTAATTTCAACAGTTTTTGGATTATATCAACATGGACTTTTGCATTTAGAGTAATCCAGTTTCTCTGTCTGGTTTTCTTGCATTATTCCCATCAATATTTGTTATTATAGGTTATCATGACATGTTAAAACGTACACATTTTTGACAGTAAAGCTCTCAATTAGGGTAAATTTGTAGGCACAATTAGCATAACACTCCCTCACTTTCCTTCCCATCCTATTCTTACCCAGCTGAGAAATACAGGAATCAAAATTATACACAGTACCTCTAAATAATAATGGTCCAAATGGTCCTGCCCAGTGCACGATGTGAAGGAGAATAAGACAAACTCCTGGAATAAACACCTAAGGACAAGGGAGAGTGAGCAGAGACTTCACCGAATCCTTCACAACTCTGAGAAAGGCCACCTACAAAAACAGTGTGTTGCTGGCTCTTTGTGGGTTTTGGAGAACGACAGAGTCAGGGAGCAGTTGCTCTACAAGACTCACTTGCCTCTAAAACCTGTGGATATGCAGACAGAAATCCACATGGGAGTTAATGCTGTCTGTTGTAGCATTAACTCCCCTCCCGAAGCTTCTATTCCATACACAGAGGGGACTAATCATGTAAGAGAGACAATGATAGTACATCTCCTAAATGAGCTATGGTGCCATGGGAAAGAGGAGGCTAGAAAGCAACACAAAGGATCATGCAGACCAGGTAGAGGACCTAGAATCCTGGGATTTGCCCACAGCTCCTTGGGTTAAACAGTGATTCCTGCATTCTCAGTGTGGCCATACACCTCAGCTTCCTAAGGACAGCATAGCAGAAACTCCAGAAATTATATAATATAGAGCAGGGTCAACAAGAACAAATATATATTATTTGAGACATCAGAGTGACAAAGGACCCTAAATAAAATTCATATACTTTCATCTGCTTTTCTCTGTTTTTTCTCCTTGTTCCTGTTTTTTTCTCCCCCTCTCCTACTCCCTGGTCTTCTCCCACAATTTACTGCTCTGTTCCCAGCTACCAGCCCCCTCATTGTCCCACTCCTTATGCGAAGATTACAAGAACTCTTGTCAGTTTCACTTTGCTGCTTAGTTAGCACAGGAAGCAGAGCAGAAAAGAGGAAAAGACTAAATTACCTGAATTACACTTGGCTGCTCTGCTGGATGGACTGGCAGAGCCAAATGAAACTGACAAGAGATCTTGTAAATGTCAATTTGCTGCTCTGCTGGCACATGGAGCGGAGCAGAAGGAAGATGGGAACGGGAGAAGAGAATCTCCAGAAGGTTCTGGGTGCTACCCATGGGATAAGGTCTGCTTTGTCAGTGAATTCAATGGTTTTCTATTGATTGATGGTAGAACTGCTACTCCAGGATGACCAAATTCCTTGTGGGACTCCCATTGAAATATGGAACCCCTGCATGTCCTCCAGCTTGGGGCTGTGTATTGAAGGCAAATTCTATTTAAGGTGCTACATTCTATACAGAATCTCTTCCTTATTTTTTAAAGAATCAGGAGCTGAGGTTTATGCATATTCACAATAAGCACTCAGGGCTTGATCTAGTCTCAAGGGTCACATGTTTTCTGGTAGATCGAAGGATGCCCCCTCCTCTCCATAACGAGACAGGTAAGGTGAGGACAAATCCTTTCCCACTACTGAAGGCTAGGACAGGAATTCTGCACGTTGAAACTCCTGGCATTTCTTGTTTCCTACATGAAAAGATTTTGCTCACAATCATGGGGAAACAGGGCAAGGGTTGACAGTTTTTTGCACTCCTGCTCCCCAAATCAACTCATATACTCATTAAAAATAGGCAATGGGATTACAGAAAATCTTTGGATTTTACAGCAAAAAAAAATTCCATTATCAATTAAATATTTGGATTTTTAATGTAATTTCATAGAAAAATTTAATCTTGATATAAATTTCACTTGACAGATTTATGGGATGTTATTTTATTACTAATTAATAAAGAACTTGACAAAAACATTTTAGAAACTACAGTGGGTCATCACTGAAAATATCCATATTTGCTAGCAAGTTATCACAGTGTGGTATCTCAGGTCTGGCAGCTATTCCCTATTCTAAGCATTATAGGTTGTCATTTCTCAGATACCAACTGCTGGCAATTGCTGACCTACAGTGAGTACTAGGAGTTCTGTTTCCATTTATTTTTTAAAAATGACCAGTACGTATATAAAAATCTTGTAAATATTTAGTCATTCTTGGTTCTCTTTAAAATGTAGAGATGAATAGAATGAAACCCATTCCAAAGACAGTATTGACAACTCTACATGTTCAGAAATCATAAGCCAGTTCCCCAAAATCATGAGATTTAAAAAAAAACAAACCCCAACATTTGGGGTTGTTTTTATTTGCTTTCTGGTTTTGAACATGGAGGGTTAACATTTACAAGCTTTTGCCTGCAACCATAAAGGGTTAAAAAATTATTTTTGCTTTTTAAATGAAATCTGAGATGCTCAAATAATCAGATGACTTCAGGAGCAGGGGCTTAAAGAAAATGCTAAAAGCACAAAAGTTGTGCTAAAATTGAGAGAGTTGGCAACATAACAAAGGGCATGTCTATACTGCAATAAAAGACTGGCTCAAAATTGCAGAGTAGACATTTGGGATTGGGCTGGAGCCCAGTCTCTGAAACCCACAAGGTCTAAACTCCTAGTTTTTTGCCCCACAGCACAAGACCCATGAGTCTGATGGGGGAAGGGATATGTCTACAAGGCAATTAAATACCGGTGGCTGGCCTGTGCCAGGTGACTCCGGCTCATGGAGCTTGGACTGAGGGGGTATTTAACTGCAGTATAGATGTCTGGGCCTGGACTGCAGCCTGAGCTCTGAGACCCTCTTACCTTGCAGGATCCTAAATCCCAAGCTCCAACCCAAGCCTGAACATCTCCACTGCAATTAAAAAGCCCTGCAGCCCGTGTCTGAGTCAGCTGGCACAGGCCAGCCACCAGTTTTTAATTGCAATGTTGACATACCCTGAGTCAATTGGCCCAGGCCAACCAAAGGCGGCTGGGATTTAGGCCCTGATCCTGTAAACACTTAAATATGTGATGAATTTCAAGCACATGAATTACCCAACAGAAAACGCGGTTTCTACTTTTTAGGTTTTTATATGGTCACCTCTTACCACAATAGTTGATTTAAAAGGGAGAGGAGTAAGATTATAAAGCCACAGCTTGGGAACCAATGGCAATTTGGTACAGGAGCTGTCTAGGCTGATGGAGGTTAAGAACCTGGATTCTATGCGAGACACATTTGCTATATGTGCCAGCTCTGGGATATGCATCTCCGCAGATCACAGATAGTACTGTAGGCCCCATTCCACCTCGT